ACAATTATTTGCTCTTAGAATGGCTTAGCAATTCATGGCCATAATAGGAAAGTAGGAACTTGGGGAAAGAACACTTGGAAAATGAAGATCTTATTTTTATGGAAATGAATAGTAACTCTGAAGTGAGGATGACATATGGAAAAAGAATAAAATACAAACAGAACATTTTAAAATCGACAGTCCTCAGCATGGTTCCATATGGCCCAGTAGTATTTAAGGTAACAGGAATCTGCGGGAGCTGCATATTCATTTCTGAGGCTTGAGACTCAGTTTACAAAATGGTGCTTTCCACTTTGTCTTGAGTATTTCCTTTGCCTGCCTCCCGGGTCTGCTTCTTAGATTTGGGGGGTGGAGTATGTGAGTTAGATTAATAAGTTAAAATTAAGAACTGTAAATTTCATAACTTGTATCTCATTCTTAATAGAGTTGAAAATTTTTCGTAAGACAGCATCTCACTTACCCAACTTGGTCCACGTGAAAACTAACTGTAGTTTCATAGCCCATTTAATGTTTAGGCCTAACAATATTGCTCATAACTGAAACACAAATCAAAGAAATGATACAGGATATTAAATGCCATTGTCTAAAAACTCAGTTCACATGATTGTGTCTCAAATTATACCCAATAGCCATGTATAAAGAGTCAACCAGAAAATTGTCTGGTTTTTTGCAGACACTGAATGAGTTTTTTGATTTAGAACTTTTATAGATAAAGTGCATCACAATATACTTTGTGTGTCATAGAAAATGAGGCTAATATTTAACTCACTAAATAGGAATCTAAGGCAGGTTGAATGACTACATCATAATATGTTATGTGCCAGACTTATCTAAACAATGGTATCTTTTTAATATCCTGGGTTGGGATGTATCTTGATATCTTTGGACACTGTCTTTGTCTTTTCTTCATTTTGATCTTAAACTCAGGTTTTGAAATGAAATAAAAATATCAGTGGGAAGAGGAACATGTACCTCGACACAAGCAGTTTAATGGATTTCTGCTTTTCTATGTGTGAGTGTCAAGAATCATCTTTTCATTACTCCCATCTTGAAGTTTATAAGCTCTTGCAGGGCTGTAACTGTTACTGTCTTGACATCTGTTTCTTCATCTTTTGTCTAATCAATTAACTTCATTTTTTTCTGTTGCTAAACTGTACTGTTTCTTTTTATTTTTTGACTGCATCTATGGGGTGTTTGGCTTTGTGTAGACATAGTGGCACTGAAAGTTGCCCCCTAATTCAATAATTCACCATGAAGACTGGTTTTTATTCTCATTGTGTTGAACAGGCATCTAATCAACCATTAATTTCCTTTTTGCTGGATGAACAGAATAACTATTTCTGTCTTTCTTTTTGATGAGAAACAGAGGCGGAGAGGATAGGGGCCGCTCTAAATGAGAAGGGGGATTTTACAAGGGGAAGGGTGGAATAGAAAAAGGATGGAATTTGGGGGAGGCTTGGGAAACCAATGAATATGTGTCTGTGGACCATGAAACTACATTTTTGTATATTTTATGCTAAGCTTACAAGATTCCTTCTACCATTTCATTGGGCAACCTTAAATAAATAATTTCTCAAAACCTATTTCTCCACCATCTGTAGAATGGGGCAGATAGAGCAGAACTGAACACCATGTTTACAAATCAATAGCCAACATGTAATTGCTTGTTATCTTCACCTGGGTCCTTGTCATTGTCATGCTACCTTTTGAATTCAGCAAGAGACGTTAAAACATAGAAATACTTTATAAGGTTGTCTTCATAGTTTATCTAGCATGTTTTCCATAGCACTCCATTCATGCAAGTGCACAGATGAGCCCAATGGCATCTGCAGCAGTAGACATTTGTGGAAGGAAGACTAAACTCACAGATACAGTTGTGGCAAATCAGATATAGTAATAAGGACTAGTTTTATTTATTTTTTTGATTTGACATCACAGAGTCAATTGGAATGGTATTAATGTAAGGGAGAGGATGATGCATGTATCTAAAACACATGGAATTTGGAAGAAAGTGGACCTCGGGATAGATCTGACCCAGAGTCTTCTGAAGCCGTGGGGCTTTCTGTGTTTCTCACTATTACCTGCCGTTACTTCTTCATTGCAGTCTTTTCCATTTATACCTAAAATCTGGCCTCCAACAGCTCCCTGAGCATGTTTCCAGCATCTAAATTTATAATGGACTAAGATATGGCCTTGAGGCCCTAAGAACAGAAGCCCACAGAAAGAATCTGATTGGCCAAGTATGGCTCAGTTACATGAATCTGGACCTATTAGCTATGGCCAAAGAGTGGGATTCCACCTTGCAGCCTTTCCCCTGTGTAGCTAGAAAAGAGAAAGATCTAAGAACAAGAAGGTTTCCATTTCAAACATTTAGAATTGTAGAATCATTGATGTTGGGTAGAGTGGGTGAGTAGAAAGATTGAAACATGATCATAGTGTTTATAAACATGACCATAGTTTAATAAAGCATTGTATATAAAATATATGCATTTATAAGATAATTGCTTGAAATCTTAGAATGGCTGCTTTATATGTTCATGTATTTATTTTACAACTTTATTGAGAGTTTAGAGTGCAGCATACTGTTAGACTCAGAAAAGAATAAAGATGAATGTTCTTTCTTTAGTGACCTGCCTTTCTTTAAAAAAACAAAAACAAAGAACAAAAGGAATATTGGTTGAAGACTTCTGGTTACAACGTGTCCAATGAAATTTTTCCAAAGAGCAGTTTAGAAGATAAGACTGGTGTGAGCAAGCTGGAGCCACACAAAAGATTGGGTGCTCACTTCTCGCCCTTGAAGAGCAAAACTGTTTTAGGTGGAGGATTTTTTGAGTGGAGAAAAGGCTCTATGCTAAGATGAGTAGATCAGTGTTTGGACATACATATACACACATATATACACATATACATGCATACACACATTTGCACACATGTATATCAGGGACAGACTTTCTCAAAAGTGTTTCTCAAAATACATGACTAATTTCCTCCTCCCTCCCTGCCTCCCTCCCTCCTTCCCCTCTCTGTATGTCAGAAGACAGCTATCTAGGGTTAGTTTTTCCTTCCACCATGTGGGTCCTGGTGACTGAGCTCAGGTGTGTAGGCAAGTGCCCTCTCCCTGTCCTTTATCAAAGGCCTTGTTCTGAAAAAATGGAGCATGAATTAGTGAAGCTCTAATTCCTTCTTTGCAGGATAATAAATTCAAACTGCTGTGATTCATGTGTCTGAGAATTTTTGTCATTTTACGGAAACATATTGCATATCAAGCCAAGTGTGAGGGTAGACACCTGTAATCCCAGCACTCTGCGGGTCGAGGCAGGAGGATGGAAAACTTGAGGCTATATGTAGAAAGACTCTGCCTAAAAATAAAATAGGAAAGGGAAGTATGAAAAGACGAAACTTATTTTAAGTCAACAAGTGCTCAAATCAGACTTGGATCTTATTTTAATTTTGCAGCTTATTTAATTTATGCATAAGTGTTTCTAGAGCAGCCACAGTGATGAAATAAACATTCTGCCTCTCTCCTCTTGGAGCGTAGAGTGACTGTGAAAGACAAGATTATCAACAAGCATGTTTGAATGTTGATAGTTGTAATAAAACAAATTCAGGGAACCATAAGAACACATAGTAAAAGGACCCAAAGAGGAATAAAATAGTTAGAGAAGGGAGGGAGGAACAATCCAGATGGAAAGGGGTGGCTGACAGTCAGGAACTGAAAGGGACTGTCCTCTCCTGCTTTCTTCTACCCACCTGCCCCCTGCCATGGTGGTACAACCAGAGGGAGAGAGGAGATGCCCATTCTTATTCCCTAATCTTTTTGGTCCTTGTATATTTTACCCCAGATCTTTTAAGAGGCGATAAACTTTTGTTTTTAAGTAAGAATATGACGATAGCCATTACGTCATTCCTACTATTAAACAGAGAACTTTCTCTAACCAAGGTCGACAAGAGAGTTTATCTTGAGGTCTTTCTTGTGGTGTTAAATGCGTGGAACACCACTATGTTCCATTCAGTCTGCCTTTGTGGATTAGTTTGTTTAACCTTTAACTAAAAGACACAGATTTGTCAATGAGGCTAGACCTTGAGTTTCTTCTTCCAATTGTATTAATAGTCAAAATCTTACTGATAGCTTTTACATTAACCATTAGTATTTACTAATAAGACTTTCCAAGATTCTGGGATGTGATTTCTCTTTTTAGTGCATCAAGTTATGCCTGTTAAAAGCAGATGTCATTTGGCCTAATGATTACATGTTCTTAAATTGGTATTTTAATTGGATTGCCTGGTTATTGAAATCCTATGTCCCCAAGATATATTCCTCAAGTACTATCTCCCACTGTAATGTCTGTTGCTGTTTCAAAGGAGCAAAAGGATATATAAAGAGGTGATCATCACTCAAGATCGTTTGCCTCCTTGGCGTCAGCTGTCAGCCCAGTACATTTATTTAGACAACAGTGGGTTCGGCCGGAACATATAAAGTTCTCTTTCTCAGATGTGAAATATGATGAATGTGCCATTCTGATGACCTTTACACAAGGCCGCATGTTAATATTCAAGACCTCCCTTTTGTTGGACCTGAACAATGGCTGTCATTAAGAAAGCTTGGCTTGCCAATATGCCCTCTGTTAGGATGCTGGCCCACTCCTGATTGGTCACCAGGAAATGTCATGTGCCTTTGATGGAAATGACATGGAAGATGTATGGTCAAAGTGCTGTGCTCAGCACCACTGCTGTGCAGAGGAGAAAACCACCATGACCCAAATAGCCCCATACTCAAACAATGTCGCACCAACCAAAGACAACGCATTGGGAAGAAAAATGCTTGTAACCTGCATGTGTTAGAAGATGTATTGGCCAGACGGCCATAGGGCAATCTTTGAACTATTGAAATCTTTAGAAATATTGTTTGGTTCTGAAACAATACTTACAAACCTAATTAATCAAGCATAGATGGTTTATTTTCAGGCCTTCCACGGCATGTTGCTTTAATGCAAGAATAGGGTCAGTTGGGTTCTTTTTGCCATTTCACGGAGGCATGCAAGAACTCAGCATGCAGATCCATGTTCATACAAGTTGAAGCTCTAAATTTCAAAATAATATCGACACTGATCTCTGGTGATGCCACCATCAACAAAGGCTGCGGTTAGAGGTAGCCTGAATTTCTTTTCCAATTGTTTCTGGCTCCATGTGTGATGCTTTCTCTCCCGTCTTCCCCCTCACTTTTATTCATCAGAATCATTTATTCATGAAACCAATAAAGAATCATCTCAGACAAATTCTGTAGCTTTAGTAGAAGACACTTCAGGCTTTTCTTATAGTGTGAAGGCAATGAAGAATGGTTTATTAAATGCTGTGATTTTAAGTGTTTATAAATATCCCTCCCTGTTTTCCAGTATAGTTTCTGGTTTTAATAGACTGATTGCAACAGTGCACATGTTTAAGTGGGTAAAATGAGAGCTGTGAAAACAATTTCATAGAAGGTTGAGTACTCTTTGAAGTGGTAACAGGCAGGAAGCACCAGCCAGTTGTGGCTGATCAAGTCAATCATTAAGATGAAGGAGTCTTCCGAGTACTTACATGCAAAATAGTGTGTGACCAGACTGGAACTGAATGAGTTGTACCCCTGAAGGTTAGTCAGCTCCTGGTTATTCATTTTGAAGAAGACTGTCAACACTTTTGATTACCTACACATTCCTGTTTTGTTCTGCTGGGCTCTGTCACCGAGCCCCAGCTGGTTAGAAAACAGGAGAGAGAGAAGGGATGGAAATTCAGTCCATAATTACACAAATGCAGACCATTCCAGGGAAATACTTAGTAGGAGGAGAGATGGTTGAGTTTGTTCTCATTGGGAAAATACAAAGTAAAATCACATTGCAAGTACTATCCTATATTCACCAAGGTAGCAACAAAAACAAACAAACAAACAAACAAATGTTGACTATAGCAGCTACAAGTGTTGACAAGGTACAGAATAGTAGGAAGCTGAGTAGACTTCTTGTGGGAAGTAAGTTGGTAGGAACATGTAGAATGAAGCAGGTTCTCTGTAATAAGGTCAGAGGCAAACATGCCTATCTCTGGCTTGGCTACTTTACTCCTGGAGAAGCACAGAACGTGCACAAGAATTTCCATAGTAGTCTTGTTGTTTATAATACTGTTAAAACAATCAAAATAAAATAGACTCCACTTCTATGTTCATATTGCTCATAAGAGAATGAATGAACAAATTGTGGATTTCCATATAATGAAAGAGGGTGAGTCTGGCAGTATTTTTTTGTTTCTGTAAATTGTGATATATGAAATTTCTTTCTTTTTTTTGTGTATGTGTGTTTGTGCTTGTGCATGTCCACACTGGTGAACTCACCCAAGAGGGGATGCAAGAAGGCCAGAGGCTGATGTTGGTGTGTTTTCTTTGATTATGCATTATATATTTTGAGACTGGGTTTCTCACTGAACCTGGAGCTCACTGTTTCTGATGGCCAATGAGCTCCAGTACCCATGTGTCTCTTCCCTTGTTTCTGGGATTATAGGCACATTATGCCTGGTGTTTTATGTGAGGGTTAGGGATACAAAATCAGGTCTTTATGCTTGCATAGCAAGCATTTCATTCAGTAATTTCCTCAGTCCATTTTTTGACATGTAAAATGATAATATATTTCAACATATAAACATATGAATGTTATTAAATTCTTTTAAAAGTATAGTTTTAAAAAACTTATTTGGAGACTCACAAATTTCTGGGGCATGGGTAGAGAATAGTTTAGCAATCTGTTTCATTTTTGTACAGATGGGGAAACAATATGAAAATACTTGTGGTTTGCTCAGAAAATAATGAACACTGCAATCAAATGGGTAGGCTCTCAGGTCAATGTGCTCTTTATTGTTGCTTTATTTGTTTAGTTTTTGAAACAAGGTCTCCCTAAGTAGTCCTTGAATGGATTGAACTTCCTATGTAGACTTATTATGTAGATCAGGCCAACTTCAAACTCACAGAAACCTATCTGCTTCTGCCTCCTGTGGAACAGTATTAAAGACATGTGCCATCATGTCCAGCTTAGGTCATAGTTCTTTAAATTGCATTTCATGGTGAAACACGTCTGTGAATTTAAAAATGAAACAGTTTATATGTATCTGTACTAGACTGAAACTTTCCCATTGTTTAACAACCCTCTTGGGACTGTAGGAAGAGGTAGTCTTGTATGAGGAGTGTGAAGGCCCTGAAGTTTTCTTCGGGTGCAGAGAGGCTGCCTTCATGACTTTTTACTGGAGAATCATGTGGTCCAATGATACTAAGAGAAGGTATATCCTTCTTCCTCAAAGGCAGGAATGGGCACCCCTGAATACACCAGAGTGCCTGAGTCATGGCAAATGGCCACCTTGATTGTGACTTCTTCATTTTCTCACATTCATGGCGGACATCAGTGATGGCCCTGTGAACATCAACACAGCCCTCAAATTCTTCATTTAAAAAATGGTGTCACAATTTTTTTTGATGAATGTTGTTTGAGACAAACCTTGCTTGTGCTCCTTGCTTGGGGACAGGCACCATGGTTACTGTACTATGATGAGATGTCAGATGTGGGTCATTGTGGGCCAGTCCCATAGAGGTGAAATGTCATCCTCAGACAATAGGCAGGAAGAGGAAGTGGATTCTGATGAGGTGAGAATGGAGGAGGATAGCTGTCATACTGATGAGTATCCATCAGAGAGGGAAGTGACTCATTCTCTCCTTTGTCCTTCCCACAATAAGTTTTTGAATGTCTGGTAAATGACAGGAATATACTTCAGAATTCATATTTGCCTTCACCAAATTTGCATTCTGGTGAGGGCATTAAACTTAGGAGCATAAACTATATATTGCATGTTATACAATTTGAATAAAGATAAATCAGAGAAAGGAGTCAGGATAGGTGGTAGAGAAAGCCATTTTGGAACGAAGTTGGGATTATATTTTGTTCTAGAATTTAGCTGATGGTTCAATTATCAGAAAGAGGGAACAGGCTATTGTATTTATCCTTTCTCCAAGCTCTGTCTTTCTTCATGTGATTTGAATTTATTATCTATACCCTTTTTCTTATCCCTTAATAATTGCCTTTAACATCTCTAGCAGGACGGGGCTACGGGGAAAGAATTCCTTCAATTGCTTTGTGGCCATTTCTGTTCTAAGAAATTTTAAATTTATCCTTTAATGTTAAAGAATACTTTTTCTAGATATAGAACTGTGCATTTATTTTTGTCTTTCAACACTTGGAATCATTTTATTTCACCTCCCCAGTATATGACTTCTGAATTCTGTTGTGAATTTAATATAATTTTAATTAACAAACAAGAGTACCATATATATCATATGTAAATGATGCTTTAAAATATGTATAATTATGGACTGGCTCTATCATACTAATTACCTTATCCATTATTTTCTATTTTTGTGATGTGAACACTTTAATCTATTCTTGTAGTGACTTTTGAACCAGATTATTAAATATTCTCACCAGCGTGTGTCATACATCCCTCTCTGTGGTCCTTTTTCTGTCTCTCCTGTAAGATAGTGTATTCTCTTCCTCAGCTTATCTCAAGAGTCTTTCTTTTTAGTGCTGGGGAAATGGCTCAGTGCATAATACTGCTGTTCAGGCACAAGGTCCCAAGTTTGAGCTCAGAGTCCATGCTCTTGTGATTCCAACTCTGGGAAGGTAGAGACAGATCCCTGGGACTCTCTGGCCAGTTTATCTGATTTAGCAAGTTTTCCAAGCCACTGTTCCCCAAAAACAAGGTATATGATACCTTAGCAATGACATCTGAAGTTGTTTACACACACACACACACACACACACACACACACACACACACACACACACACACACACACACACACACACACACACTCACATTTTTTCTCTTTGTGTTAGACTTTTACAGTTTAAGAATGATGGTCTTACATCTGGGATTTCAGTTTCTGTTTTCCATAAACTTGCTTGATTTTTTTATATCTGTTGTTGGTCATTGACTTTTGAAAGTCATAATGTCAAACAACTTTTCTGTTTCAGTTTTTTTTTCTTTTGCTGGTATTCTAGCTATGTACACATAATTGGTAACTTGTCTGACTTCCTGTACGTTCTGTTCTCTTTTCTCTTATCATTTATTTATTTGTCGGTTTGTTTATTGGTTTTTAGAGATAGAGTTTTTCTTTGTATATTCCTGGCTGTCTTGGAACTCACTCTGTAGACAGGTTGGCCTCAAACTCAGAGATCCACCTGTCCCTGCCTTCCAAGTGCTGGGATTACAATCAATACCCATCTCTAAGCTCTCTGATTGTCCCCTATCCCTTGGCCAGATCCAGTCTATGGATGAATCCATCAAAGACATTTTTCATTTCTGTTACAGTGTTTTGTTTTAAATTTCAGGTATTTCATTTTTTTTTAGCATTCTCATCTCTCTTTTTACCTCATCCAGATATTCTTTCATGTTCTCTCCTTTCTCCATCAGAATTTATGTTAACCAAGCATGTTTTAAATGAACTGTTAATGCCAATGTTGGTGTCATATCTGAACTAGCTGTTGGATTAAGCTGTCTCTCCAGAGTGTGGAAGTAGAAGTTTCCCCTGAAAATTCAGTTCTCTGATGGGTTCAAAGAAAGTCATCACCACTATATGGATCAGCCTGTTAGTTTCCAAGCTGATTACATGATGGAGTTGAAACTACAAGTTTACATTCTTCACTTTCTTGAATAATTTTGTTATTGTAACTCTCATCTTTCAGGTGAAAGACTGCCAAACTTGTCATAACTACCTCAAACTATTATATCCATCTGGGATCCCATTTTCTCTTATCTACCTGGTAACCAGTAGCCTTCTACCTGTCTGTCACTCATGTCTCATCCTGATCATGTTCCAGCACTTTGAAAATCACATGCTATGCAGCCTCTGGACACCTGCCTCCCCAACCCTTCTGGCTTACTTTATTTCAGCCACTGGGGCTGCTTTCTGTGGTCAGGATGGTGTCTTCTTTACTTCTGAAG